GTACACATTTTTACACATTAGTACCACCCACAGGGTTTTGGAACACAACCAATAAACATACAATACACTCAGACACTCCCACACAAAATCCTCCCCTCTGCCTGTGATTCAATTACCTTACACAATGGGTAATGTAATTATAACAAGCATTGAAATAACATTTTTCCACATTATTCCTAACTTGAAAAGTATGCATCCCATTCACATAATCAGCACACTCCAAATACAAACATACGTCAAAATCATACAAATTGGTCCAGTGGTTCAAAAGATAGATCGTAGTCCTTTGTGACCAAAGGAAGCATGGCTTTTCTGCCCCAAATCAGTTCCACAGAGTCTTCTATCCTGGAGATAATTGGGAAGTAATCCAATTATCTCCAAGGACAGAGGCAAAACTCCATTGAACACATGGCAGCAAAAGACAATACAACACATAAAAACATATAACTGTGCAGCCATTGCACAAAACAGGTACATTCAACATATCCCCAGATAGCTCAGATCTGAGCGCACATTATTACTGAATGGCGCTCAGAGCACACACATACAGTTCAGTTGCCTGGCATTATACGAATGGGCTCCATGGCATAGCTATCTGGGGTATCACCGCTCAAACAGGGCAAGCACCAAATGACCCGGCTTTCATGTCTTTGCAGGGGAAAATCAAGCCTTTTAACATGGGGCCATAATCCAAAGGCAACAGACGAGCAACCAGGCTTCTCCAATGCAATGTGGCGAGATTGGTCTCGTCACACTGAACATATTATGCACACACTATTATTGCTAAAACTGTGAAAAAATAAATAAATAAATAAATAAATATATTTTTTTAAATAAATGAGAATTTCTATATGTATATGTCATCTCAAATTAAAGCCCTTTTTGTCCTCCTTTTTGTATTTCATTTAAAATTAAAGCCCTTTAGTCCTTTACTGACTACACTAACCATACTAACTGACATTAAAACAAATTGAATGATATTCTAGATCTTGCTAAAGCTCTTAAACAACAACAACAACAAACATATATATCTAGGATCCGTTCTGACAAAGGACAATTGATTAACTACATTATGATATAGTACTTATTAACTAAACACCAGATTTTGCCCATCTTGACAAACATACCCAATAACCTAACTATTCTTAAGCTAGGATTAATGACACACATCACCTCCACACAGGTACAGCAATAGTACAACTGATCAGTGTCTGCTGGTCCGTTTCCCTTAATATCTGAAGTCAAGTGTGGTTATTTACTAAAAATATCCAGACGGACAAAATCCATTTAAAATGGCCAAATACTGACTGCAATGGCTATGCACATATGTACTAAAGCCAAGAATGTTCGAAATTGCCCAGGTGCATTTCTATCTGTGTGGATTAAATCCTGTGCTTTCAGTATGTGGAAGATTCTTAAAGAATTGGTTTTAATAAACTTTGGGATCGAATCAGGGCCGGATTAACATAGGGGCTGATAGAGCTGCAGCTCCAGGCCCAGGCCCATGGAATAGGCCCATTTAAAAAAAATTTTTTTAAAAATTTAAATTTTTTTTACTTTTTTTTTTAACACACTACTCTTAGGTTTGCCATCTGCCTGGTATTTTAAGGCACAGCCTGTATTTGAGGCTGCCTGGCCGTGATGGTATTGCAGTAATACCAGCAATACAAATGCAAATATTTTTCTCAGTATAAACAGAGATTACTCTGCAATAGTAGCACCGGCCAGTAGGGGTCACTGTGTATGGAGAGAGACAGGGATAGGAAGTTACAACATATCCCTCCCTGCCTCTCTCTACTCACAGATCCGTGGGGGAGCAGCTACACAGCACAGAGTGTTCAGACAGCAGCTCCCAGCCTGCATAGACAGACTAAAGCTCTGGGAAGTGAGGGATGAGGGGAAAGGCAGCAGGGAGACATGGGGGCACTGAGACACTAGGGACACTGAGACACATGGGGACACTGAGACACATGGGGATGCTGTGAGACAAAGGTAGACACATTGGGATATGAAGACACTAGGGACACAGTGTCTTCATGTCTCCCAGTTTCCCCATGCCTCCCAGCCAGTGTCCCTAGTGTCTGTGTCCCCATGGCTCCCAGTATCCCCATGCCTCCCAGCCAGTGTCCCCATGGCTCTCAGTGTCTCCATGGCTCCCAGCCAGTGTCCCCATGGCTCTCAGTGTCTCCATGGCTCCCAGTGTCCCCAAATGTCTGTGTCCCCATGTCTCCCATTGTCCCATATATCTGTGTCCCCATGTCTCCCAGCAGGGCCGGACTGGGAATTAAAAGCAGCCCTGGAAAAAAAATATTTACCAGCCCCATAATGCATCGCGCCAGCATAGTGTGCAGATACAGAGTTAGAACAGATAACTTAAAATTAAAAAGTACTTCAACGTAAAAAGCGCACTCATAGGCTTCAAAATAAACAAAAGTGCAGATTTACTTTAAGCAGACGTGCCTTTGCATGTAATCAATGTTTCAGTCCAACTACCTTGACATATTAAGGAAAGCTTGTTAATGGGACTGAAATGGTGAATGTATGTAGGGCACAACGGAAATGTTTTTATTCTGAAGTCCTGTGGGTGTGCTCTTCACTTTAAATATGTTATTGTGCTGGAGTATGCACCTAGCAACAAGACTGGGCCAATATCTGCTCATTACATATGGTACATATTAATGAAATTTCTCGGTGTATTATGCATTTATAAATGTACATTACTATGTGTAAATATAATAGAGATATAAAACTGATACACACATTAATATACATGTCATATACTAATGGCGGATCCAGAGCCTGAGCCTGAGAGGGGCACTTGTAGATTATTTAAATAAATATTCCATGCACAATAACCACTACTCCTCTGTGTAGTGGTTATGGTGTCAGGAGCGTCGGCACCCCCTCCCAGAGTAAGTAGTCAAATCGTTTAAGAACAGTTTGACAACTTACCTGCAGTCTGCTGGGATATGGGGCTGTAGTAGGGTATAGGAGCAGTGGTGCAATGTGTGTGAAAGGTTCAGTGTGTGGGTGGGCAGTGTGTAAATGTGTATGGTGTGTGTGTGTGTGTGTGGGGGGGCAGTGTGTGAATGTGTATGGTGTGTGGGGCAGTGTGTGTATGGGGCTAGAGTTCACTCCTACTACTGGGACCACCAGGAAGTGGTGAGAGTGAACTCTAGCCCGTAGCTCCAGGGCTAGAGTTCACCCTCGTGAGAGCCGGAGCGTTGCCCCAGGTCCTCTCTTCCTTCCCTGCCGACTGGCTGCACGGTGCCTGTGGAACGGGGAGGGAGATCGGCCGGCAGGGGAAAGCCTTGGGGGCTTTGTGATATATACTGCCCCTATGTGTGTCTCTTTATCTCCAGCCCCTCTGTGTGCCTTTTTGTCTCCCCCAGTCATTCTTTATGTTTCTTTCTCCCCCTCACTGCTCCTCTCCTTCCCAGTCTCTCTCTTCCCCCTCTGCCTCTTTCTTCCCCTCCCCTTGTGTGTCTCTCTCTCATTTCTCCCTCTTTGTCTCTCTCTTCCCCCTCTGCCTCTTTCACCCCCTTTCCCTGTGTCTCTTCCTCCCCCCTTTCCCTGTGTCTCTCCCTCCTCCCCATCTCTCTCCCTCCCCCTTTC